CAACCAAAACCCATCCAGGAATCACACAGAATACAACACATCTGATGATGGTCATAGGCCTTCACTTGAAGATCTCCTATGAAGAGCAACTTATTTTCCCACAAGGCAACTCATTTTGGACTGTTCTACCTGTTAGAAAGAAAAATTTATATATCAAGCCTGAATTGACTCTATAAAACTTCTACCATTTCTAGTTCTGCCCACTGGGGTTAAGTAGAACAGGCCTAAACATGGGACTTCCATGGGACAAATGGCTGCCCTTGAAAACAATGATCATGGCTATCCCCTCCACACCAAGTCTTCTCAAGGGTAACCATTCTCAGTTCCTTCAACCTCCCAGATGTATAGGACATCTCCTAACTCCTCGACATCCTTATTACCTCCAGTGTTTGCCTTCTCTTAGTACAAAATCCTAATATTCACACTGGGTATGTGTTAGCTTGTGACAATTTCAGGTTGTTGTTGTTACTGTTAAATATCATCATCATCAGTGATCATTTTATCATTGAAAGGCAGCATGATGAGAGCTGGCAGAAGACTGGGTTCCAAGATTCACCTCTGATACCTATTGACTGTATGACTGATCAAGTTGCATAACCCCTCAGTCTCCTCCCCTGGGAATTCACCCCTATGCTAAGGTTTTATCATTGCTTCAAGTATCTTTAACTACCTGCCTCATCTTCACCCTTGGAAACAAAACTAATAAGCAGTGGACAGCAAGAGATGCATTTTTGTATCTACAACTTACGAATTCCACATCTGTTCCTTTACAAAATGTTGTATAAACATTACTTTTGATGAAGGCAATTTTAGAGAAACTGTTTTCCCCCATGATATTAAACCAATGTGCCTCTCTTTGATTGGCATGTTAAATTTGTGTCTTATTTTTTTTCTTTTAGGGGAAAAAACTCTGTTGCTTTGAAGTTCAATGAACCAGATGGCGGATATTCTGAAATTTTTTCCGATCTAAAAGTGAGTCAAGTCTGTCACCTATTTTAATAAGCAATAAGCCCAGTGGATGCTTAGTAAAGAATTGCTGTCTCTGGTTTAAGAAAGAAAAGCAGATAGGAGAAAGAGGTTTTATAGCTGATGATAAGATTTAATTAGAGGGCATAGAATCCTGGTGAGTAAAGAGCTGGTTAGGCTTATTTGCCTTGTTCAGAGTGTCAACCTAAGATGTTTTGCTGTTCTGATTGGAGAAGACACGCATCCTGGTGAGTGAATAGGCTGGTGTTAATAGATCAGAGATAGCCAGCCTGATGAGCACTTCAGTTTTCTGCCTTAAAGAGCACTGTTATTCAAATTAATAATATAACATTTTTTCAGTGTCCTTTTAAGGGTGATTGTAAGTTGAAGAAATTCGAAATGGGATTATGAAGAGGGGATGTGACTGAAACAACTCAACACAAATGATAAAGTTGAAGAAGCTTGTAAATGTCACAGTGATTCAAATATAGAAGAGTATTTGCTAGGCTGGAGAGCAATGAGGACCAGTAGATGAGCAGTTAGCAGAGTAGAGGTTACATGTGGTAGATGTTCCTTGAATAATCCAGTGACATCAAAGCCTGAAAAAAGTCCAGAACTTTATGTTACTCTGAGCACAGGAGTTTTCCTTCCTTATGTGTTTTCCTGCCAAATTCCTTTCAGTGTCTGCCCATTCTCCCTCCCCCTACCCCAAATACATAGTATATTAGTGGGAGAATGTGACCCAGGTGCATGCAGGATTATGATGTGTTTATTATTATCATGATACAACTATTTTAATATATTGGTACCTGTAATGTTATTATTTATTTTGTCTTATGCTAAGTAAATGGTTGTGTTTAAGATCTTTTAAAAATGTCATTATTGTGAATGGCTGTTTTGTGTAAATATAAACACATTAGTGGAGGCCCCAAGAGCTAAAGTTACATATTTCCACCAGGGTTATCCTTTGGACCCTGAGAAAATCCGAGTATAATCCTAAGGTGGTGATGCTTCTCTGGGAACATAGACTTAACAGATGAAGGCTGATGGAGTGAAAATAATGAGAACAAATCTCTCAGCCCAGAGAATGAGTAAATGTCTTTATGCTCAGGAGAAAGGCTTGAAGCTTTCAGAATGTCGTGGGTGGCCACTCTGCTCATGGCAGGACTGGTTATAACACAGACTATACAGAATACATACAAAGTGATTACAATGTTGCTGTTTGTTCTTCTTTATTGAAGAGGCCCATGACATCAGGGATGTGATGCCTGACATGCAAGTGAACTGGATTTAAGTGAGGGTGGGCTGTTCAAAGTCACTATCCTCACTTTGTCCCCCAGAGCCATCTGGGTCCAATGTCCAGATATGGATCAGGACAACCGGAGATGGCCTAGGATGTAGTGGGTCTTTTCAAGCTAAAGTCTTTAACAGATCTCTTGGACTGAAACAACGCCCATCCAGTGATTTGGCTTCATGAAGGAGATGGTATCTAAGCTGAGTCTTGAAGGAAACAAGGCAGAAGTAGAAGGTGTGTTGCACTCTCTTCCAAGAAACAGAGCTAAGCAGAGAGTATTTTAGGCTTGGAGGGAAGAGAAAATAGAGGGAGGGGGCTGTTTGAGGAAAAGGTGGGAAGTCCAGTTTGACTGGATTGTAGAGTGAGGGAAGGGGAATAATATATGATAAGGCTAGGAAGGAAGGTTGGATCTGGGTCGGGAAGGACTTTAAAGATATAGTTTACATATTACCCTAGAGGCAATAGGGAGCCACTGGAGTCTGCTGAGTAGGGGAATGATATGACCAGACATATGGTTATAAAATTCACTTTGGCAGCTGTGTGAAGAGTGGATTTGAAGCTGTGCACACTTTTATGCTGCACACCTATAATCCCTGCTACTGGGAAGGCTTGGTCTGTTGAATTGCTTGAACTCAGGAGTTCTGAGTTTCAGGAGGCTAAAGCCTATGAAGCATCTATCCTAAGTCTTGCCCCCAACGTGGTGAGTCCCTGGGGAGGGGGAGGGGCACCAGGCTGCCTAAGGAGGAGTGAATTGGTCAAGGTTGAAAACAGAACAGGTTACAGCTTCCCTGCACAGCAGTGGTGGGGTCACTTGGTTGAGTGGTCACTACACCTCCAGCCTGGCTGAGATAGGAGTCCTAGTTTTTTTTAATGGATTTGAAAGGAGAGAGACCAAATATAAAGCTATTGCAGTAGTCCAGGTGAATGATAAAACATTTATGAAGTGCTTACTACATTCTAGGCACCACAATAAAGGCTTGAACTAGGGGAGGAGCCATGTGAGTAGTTAAAAAGTAGTCAAATGGTGGCACAGTGGATAGAGCACCAGCTCTGAAGTCAGGAGGACCTGAGTTCAAATATGGCCTCAGACCAAACACTTGACACTTACTAGCTGTGTGACCTTGAACAAGTCACTTAACCCCAATTGCCAAAAAAAAAAGTGGTCAGATGCAAGGGCTGTTGTGATTATAGAAATGATGAGATCGGAAAAGAGAATGGATATGTTGGGGTGAGGGACATTGAAGAGTCAAGGCTGATACTAAGTTTTTGAATTTTAAGAGGTGGTATCCTCAACAGAAATAGGAGAGTTCAGAAGAAGAGTCAGTTTGAGAGGAAAGATAATGATGAGTTGTGTTTTGAACATAATGAGTCTGACATGCCCACAGGATATCTAGTTTGAAATATCCAGTAGGAAGTTGGTGATGTGGGACTAAAGCACAGAAGGAGATACAGGGGGCTGCATATAGATAGATAGATAGATAGATAGATAGATAGATAGATAGATAGATAGATAGATAGATAGATATGGAAGCTCTGGTGAGACCATACCTGAAAAATCTGTGAACAGATCCCCTCCAATATCTAGTAAGTCATCCCATCAATATGAAAGTGGGTGAGCATCAATCCTTGCCAAAAAAAAAAAAATCCGAATTCTGCACAATGACAAAGGGCCTCAATCTTCTTTTGCCCAAGCAGTTAGATCCTTTAAAGAGCTCATACTCATTGCTTTACTAGACTTACTCCATTGTTTTCCTTATGAAGGGAACGCTGCAAATCAGGATGTCTCTCTCTTCACAGCTGAGCCTCATCTTTGGGGAAGGGGAAAACCAGGGACTGCCTTTTAACAGACCCAGCTTGGAATGTCAAGAGAATTGTCTTTGTGAGAAGCAGGTCTTGAATCTTGCTGCTGTGAGGAGATACACCGTCCCTCCTTGCTCCCTCCCCAACATGCCTCCATTAGCTGTTAAAACTTATTTGAGTACCTCTCCTAAAGGTATATAGGGTTGGTCACAGAGGCAAGAAGAGCTGGCCCTAACACATAAAGGACCATAAAGGCACAATATGGAACTGGGCTGTGGCTTGTGAACACTATCAACAGACCCCTACAATTGGAAAGACAGGATAATCTATTGGCATTTGACTATTTCTATTTCTTGCAAGGATACTGATCCTTTGCAATAATAATAAAAATAACTACCATTAATTTAGCACTTCAGAGTTCCCAAAGTACTTTAAATGTTATTTGATCCTTACAACAACCAACCCCAAGAGGTAAATGCAATTACTATCCCCTTTTACAGGTGAGGAAACAAGGTGAGATATTAAAGAACTTGCCCAGGGTCACACAGCTACTATGTTTCTGAGGCAGGATTTGAATTCAGGTCTTCCCGACTCCAAGCCTAGCTTTCTATCCACTATGCCAAAAACTCTCCTCAGCAATGTTTTTGTAGGGCCTGCTTCTGCACTGCTGTGTGAAAATAATGCTTTGCAGTTAGACTGGATTCAATCCACGTCCTTGAAGACACGGTCTGTCTCAACCCACTCAGTTTTCCCTCCCTCCTCCTCCCACATCATAAAAAATAAAATTAATTGTTCCTAACCTAGGGCTGTTTCTATAAACTTTTTCTTATGTGCCTCCTTCCTCTCCCACACTCCACCACCCCGAGAAAAACAGAGCCCTTCTCATACTACAACAATTAAATCATGACACAAACAATCGGGAACAATTGGTTTACTGTACCAGTTAATCGAGTCTGAAGTCCTGCTTCCCGGAAAGGCCCATCTACAGATGCTTCACAGGAAGGCAACACTCCCCCGTAGTGGACCTCACGGTTGTGTAATTCTGTAAAGAGGGAATAAGGGAAGAAAATTCCTTCTGTGTGATGTGGCAATCTAGTCCTTTTTTCTCTGGCAATATGGCTCTCCTTTCCTATGCTTTCTTATATCAGACCTTTAGCTTCATGACTTCCTTTCTTCTCTGTCACAGGAGTGGGGTAATGTGGTGGAGGACCACTCAGCCTTGTGCTATCACTGCTGGATCAGAGCCTCACTTACCTCGCTATTCATTCTCTTCTCCCCTTGCGTTGGCCACCAATGACGAGAAGTTGCCTGGGATACTTTTTGTTGTTATGAATGGGGTGTCATTAAAGTGAATCTTGTTTACTCCAAATGTCTCTGATTGGTATATCACAAAAAGTCAATCATTCAATCCTCTAAGATTGAAACCTGGACAGCAACTCAACTCTGGGAAGGTAACCTTTCTGTTCTACAGAAAATACATGGACTCCTCTGTGTGATCTAACCAATCTATATTGGTTTTATTCTGGTCATATCCTTTTACTATACATAGAAATAGGAGATGATCCCTGTGAAAGTGGAGAGAAAGCCTGTCTCAGACATTGGAAGACCATTGAGGACTGCCTGACACACGTAATGGATATGTGACCCTAGGCAAGTCAAAAGTCCTTTTGGATCTACCAAAAACATGTAGTGAGCACTTACCTCAATGCCTCCCTGCAAGTCTCTTAAGACTTTAAGGAGTGGAACAGCTACTGCATTAGTAAAGAGAGTTTCTTCCCCAGAAAGTTCCCTGCCCCCAGTAAAATCACAAGTTAAGACCAAAACAAAAGGACCACAGGAATATAATTGAATTAATTTCCACAAATCCATACTTCATAATTTTGTGTCTGAATATTGCTACTAGAGTTGAAAGCAATGTTTCCATTGTATTCTTTGTATTTGTATTTTTTGTATTAACAGCAGAAATTTTTCATTATGTGATTGAATAGCAAATGTTTAGTGGGATCCTTCTTAGCACAGGACCTGGTACATAGTAGGTACTTAATAAATGTTTTTTGACTGACTGAAGGAGCCACAGAACAGGAAATTGGGAGGATAAATAGAAATTACAAGTTTTTAACGCCCTATATGCTTCCAGAGATTTAGCATGGTAGGCAGCTAGGTGACACAGTAGGTAGAGTACTAGACCTAGACTTGGGAAGACCTGGGTTCACATCCAGCCTTAGAGACTTACTAGCTGTATGACCTTGGGCAAGTCATTTAACCTGTATACCTCAGTTTCCTCAACTGTAAAATGGGAGTAATACCTCCGAGGGTTGTTTGTGAGGCTCAAATGAGATACTATTTGCGAAGCACTTAGCCTGGCAGATATATAAACATGTGGCCACATAAATAGCACTATATAAGTCATTAGCTACAATGTCTAACAAGATAATAATAATAATAATAACTAGCACTTACATAGCACTTTGAGAACTTAGCACAGTGCCTGGCACATAGAAATGCTAGTTATAGTTTCTAACAAAAAAGTAGCTAGCATTTACATAGTGCTTTGAAGTCTGCAAAAGCTCTTTGTGCGTTATTTCAATTGGTACAACTCTATGCAGTAAGTGTTATTACTATGCCCATTTTACAGATCAGGAAATAGAAGCCCAGAGGTTAAGTGACTTTCGGGATCACTCAGCTAATAAGTGGGGTGGGAGAAGCTTCTTAATCCATCATTCCATGCACTCTGCACCACCTAGCTTCCTCTGACACTAGACCTCAAGAATCAAAAAGACCTGGATTCGAATTCTGCCTCTGACAATTGCTAGCTGTCACATCGCATCTTCTCTGCACCTGTTTCCTTGTGTGTAAAATAGGGATAATAACTCCAGTAGAAACTAACTCAGAGGGTGGATGCTGTAAAGGGCTCTGTAAATGTCAGTTATTATTAAACTACATAGTCGTTATGAGGCTTTCAATGCTGCAAATTTTATTTTTCAAAGGCAATGGAGAAAGCAAAGGATGCCTATAGATCCCTGGCAACTCAGGGCCTTCTGAATTTCTCTATCCACAGCAATTACATTTGTTCTGATGCATGAACTGTAAAATCTCCAGCTTCAGTGGCAAAACCATGCTGTTTTGCCCAGCGGGTCTGTGACTTAAGTCTCTCTCTTCATGTAGGAAGTTAGGGGAAAAAAGGCTTAAACAGCTGATGAATGGGAACTGAACATTTTCCATTGAAGCACAGAGTGCCTCTGGTCCCCCTCAGAAGTAAAACTGACAAGAAAAAAAATAATAAACCCAAAACCGGGGCATGAAATTAAAGTCAATAATTAGCCAGTCAGTCCTAGAGAGGAGATCTTGGCAGCCTTGCCTCAGGCTTTATGCTGAGTGATTATCTAGGCCAAAAAAGAAGACTCTCCCTATTAGCCTCCCACAACCCCCAGAGTTCAAACAGGTTTTACCTCCGGATAAGACCATGCACTGAGTAGAGCCCAGTGGTAACCAAGATAGAGGGAGAGAGATCAAAGGATTGGCTCAGCCCAGGCCCCTTGATTCAAAGCTGGGGCCCTGTCTGGGAGAACTAACCAAATCATAGATGCTTGGAAAAGGCTTGCTCCAGCTGAGCTGCCCCCAGGCCTTCGGGGCCCTCTGAGCTGAGCATGGACAGTGCCGTCTGCCCTTTTCCAGCATGGACTGAGCTTTGAACTTTTCACCTCCCTTTCAGCCTTGGCCCGGCATCAAGGAAAGAAAGGAGAACCACAGAGAATAATTCAGAATCATCCAGGTGCTTCCTCTGGAAGGAGGCGGTCCTATTCTTTTCACCAAGGAGATGAAAAAATCCCCAAGTTGAGGTTCAAGTCAACCAGGTGGCTTCCTCAATGCTCATTGTCCTTGCTGTGGTTCCTCCTCCCTCCTCCCATTTGTCCCTTCCCAATTTTGTGTCTTAAGGGCTGTCTCCCATATGTGACATGAGGGTGCCCTTCATTGTATGACTGGAAAGGAGGTAGATGGGAGGGTTCAGCCCTTGCTACACTTGCTTGTAGGAAAGATCAGAAAGTCTTGAGTTTTATTCACCTGGCCCATTATATTTAGAAGCCACTAGAAACATCCTACTACTTCATAATAGAAGGTAGGATGATAGCTTAATAGAATAATAGCATAACAAAAGTGGGAAAACACTCCCATTATTTTGATAAGCAATGCTTATGAGGACAACAGGGCAAGCACCCTAGTCCAGGGGTGGGGAACTTGAGGTCTCCAGGACACATGTGGCCCTCTAGGTCCTCAAGTGTGGCCTTGAAGCCCCCAGCTCCCTACCCTTGAGGCCTGGTCCATTTGTCAGAACTATAACTTTTAAAATTTGTGGTCTCAGGACCCCTTTACACTCTCAAAAATTATTGAGAACCCTAAATAGCTTTTATTTATATGGGTTATGTCCATACTTACCAAAGCGAAATTAAAACTGATAAATGAATAAAATATTAAATCATTTAAAAATAACAAACCATTACATGTTAACCATTTTCCAAAACAAAACAAAACAAAAAATCGGTATGAAGATTGGCATTGTTTTACATATTTTTGCAAATCTCTTTAATGTCTGGCTTAATCGAAGACAGCTGGATTCTCATAGCATTTGCATAAAACTTGAAAGTTTGCAAAGCACTTTACAAATTTTATTTTATCCTCGACAACTATGTGAGGGAGATGGCTATTATTATCTTCCTTTTACAGATGAGGAAACTGAGGCAGGCAGAGGCTGAGTGACTTGCCCAGGGTCATACAGCTACCAAGTATCTGAGGCTGAATTTGAAGTAGGGGCTATCTTGCTTCCATGCCCAACACTCCATCTACTTCAGTACCTACCTTCTCCAGACAAGCTGTTGTCTCACATAGAGAGGTAGTTGAAAAAGGAAAGAGTATTTTAATAGGCAAATAACATCTTTATATTATTATGTAAATAGTTTTGATCCCAGGACCACCAGAAACGGTCTCAGGGACCCCTTTGAGGGGGACACTTGGAGAATCTATAGTTTAGAGATTTAGGGAGTCTTTGGGAGGTAAGGGTCATGCTCCCAGCCCTTGCTTAAGAGGAATCTACAAAATATGGGAGTCTCAGACCTCTTGTCCAGGGTTTCTAAGCTAAAGATGTCCTAACGCAGGGGCAGAGGTCAGGAATGTCAAAGGGCATTCTCATGTGGCCCTTAGGAGGCAGCAAGAGGTTTGGAAGAAGGCAGCAGGTGAAGCAAGTGGTTTATTTAGCAAAAGCTCATAACCAGTAACAACTGTAGCCAGAAGAAGGTTGACATGAGTTGGGGTCATTCGTGGGTGGAGAGTGATAGCAGAGGTTTGACCATACAAGAGACTTACGCAGAAGACTAAGGTGGTCTCGTCTTTCCCTAACTCTTATCCGAGGAGGGTAGACATGGCTAGGGCCTAATACTAAATCTGTCCCACTGAGGAGGCAGGGGTCAAAGGGGTGCCATTGATTGGTAATAAAGGAGCACTAGACTCAGGGCCTGATATCCTAATTAGGCAACCCTAAGGTGTCAGAGAAAGCTACAATAGTGAAAGGGTTGGCTGTAAGGGTGGGGGATGCAGAGCAGTAAGTAGGCCAAAAGTCACTACAATATTAGAACATTGTTTCTTTAGTTTAGAATTAGCGGAGGAAGTCTCCTTCCCCTCCACCTCCCTTCTCTGTCTTGCAGAGGAAGAAACAGAGCAGACTATTAAGCTACTTGCATAAAGTCACACAGGAAGTACCAGGGGGAGGATTCTAACCCTAGTTTTCTGATTCTAAATCCAGTGGGTTTTTATTTGTTTGTTTTGTTTTCTTTTTTTCTCCCACTGCATGGAACTGGTACCTAAAGGTCATATGCCTAACAACTGTAAAAGCTACAACTTGAACCGGGGTCCTCTGGCTTCAGACTCGGCCCCCTTTTTCAATGAAGCAGACATTTAATCTGGTCTCATGACTCCTTGTAAAAATAGGTGTAGAGCTGGAAGGGACCTTGGAGGCTAGTGACCCCAAGCCCCTCAGCCAG